GCGGGGGGGGAGGGAAAACCCAGGGGGGTGGGGGGCCGCCAGCAAGGCGGGCCCGCTGCGGTCCTCTGCTCCGGGGACGGGAAGGGCTGCAAACGGGGGCGCGTCCGGTGGGGCTTCTGGAGGAGGGCGCCTTCTGTGTTCGCCTGGCGGGGGCTGCCTGGCCGCGGTGCCGCCGTTGCTGTGCGTCGCCCCTTCGAGCCGGTCTTGGCTGCTGCTCCCGCAAAGCCGAGCGGAAAGCAGCAGGTCGGGGGTGCCAGGCGGGCATGGAGCGCGCGAGAAGCGAAGGCCGGGAGGCGGCCCGGGGGGGACACCTCGGGTGCCTCCTGCAGATCGCCGCCTACCTTTCTGCAGCTCCCACCCAGCCTTTGCGCGCTCTTTTCCGTTTCCGCCCATTCTTTCCGAGCTCCGCTAAGGTCCGCCTAATGCCCCCCGGCTTGGCCCATGGTCATCCCCCAGCCAGTTTGGCCCATGCTCGTGCCGGCTGGGGATGCTGGGAACTGTAGTTGTACCCCACCAGAGGCCTTCCTGTCGGCAGCTGGGTTGCCAGATGCTCGCTGGGGCTGTTTGGGCCTCGCTCCTCTGTCCGACCGAGATACCCAGAGCAGCGCCGCTTCGCTCTCGGAGGATGCCGGGCGGTCCTGCTCGGCTCGCGGGCCCAGCCGCCCTTGGGTCCGGAACACTCGGAGGCGTTTAAGGGAAAGCGGGTGACTCCGCGGAGGAAGGCCGGCGGCCATGGAAGCCGGTGTTCCCGAAGAGGGCGGGGGGAGTGACCTGCCCGGCCGAGGGGGCTTCGCGTTCGGGCTGGTTCCTCTCTCTCTGGCTAAGGGCAGTGTCTCTCTCCTGCCAGCGTGCCCCCCGTCCTCATCTGCTGCCCGGGATGGAAGCAAGTAGGCCCCGAATGCCCCCTTGGTGAGTCTCTCTCTTTGGGAGGGGCTCGTGGGCCTGGGCGAGAGGCCTCTGGCTCGCACAGCCGCCGCCGCCCCGCAGGGGAAGCTGCCTGGAGTTCGGTGGGGCCCAAAGGCCAGACGGGCCCGACATGGTTTCTTCTGCCGCATAGGAATGCCAGCGGGGCGGGAAGAGCTGGGGGTTCAGGAGGGCAAATCA